GAAAAAGGTTGGGAACCAGTGCCGTAGACTCAGAATGAAAACACAAAAAACAAGTTCCATATCAACTGTATTTAATATTTGTTTACAGTGAGTGCCACTTCATCAATGCTTGATCATATATATATCTTTATATTAGCAAGCGCATACGGACAATGTCGATGTCTCGATCATAAGATAGTGAACAGCATTATGGTCAACAATGACGTCAAGCAACAATGGTCGAAGATGATGACTGTGTTCAGAGACGACAAAAAGGGAAGCCTAAAACAGACAAAAACCTGATCACCTTCACACGATCCTCAATTACGGTAGTTTGATCAGCTTTAAAGCCGCTTCAGACGCAAAGTAATCAACCACATTTTATAGCAAAGATGCAGGTTTTGGTCTCAACAAAGAGCCGATGAACAGAGATTTCAGACAGTTATTGATCAGTTTTACAAAAACCACACCTTTCACTGATTACAGGTGCCGAAAAGCTGGAAACAAACGTGTACCTGTGTATAAGCAGTGCTTTATCTGCACTACACACCAGTCACAGAAACCAGAAATGCTGCTGCTGAATATCTGAGGCTTATCTGTTTGTTTTAGGCTCAGTGTTGCTGTAGATGGGAGAAAAGGACAGACAGGCGGTCAGTGGACTCTGAAGTGGACTGTAGATGAGTGCAGAGAGAGAGAGATCCCTTTTCATTGAGTGAGGAGAGGAACAGCTGAGATGAATGACACCAACCATTCAGACAGACACAGATGAGATGGAGCCAGCCTTCTTTATCAGCTATGGATTACATTAAGTGCCTACTTGACAGATTTCCCCATTTTCTAACCATTTTAGTTCATCATTACTTATGAGGCTCTATTCCATCACTTTCTATCTGTGTGGTTGGTGAAGAGACGCTGCCGTCGTGTGCTGGAGTCTATGAGTCGTTGACGGACATGGTCTCCATGGCGTTGGGCAGGTTCTGGTCTCCTCCTTCCTGCTTCTTCTTCTTCCCCCCTCCTCCCTGCTGTTTCTTTGCTTTCTTAGACATCTCCTGGTCGATAGG